ATAGGTTTTCACGTTAAATATCGAGTGCACTGCATATATGATGCTTCAGCAACTCACGAATCGCCAAAGCAAGTGAAATGCTAAATCCACGAGTGTGCCGACAAGTCCGCTGCTTCATTGAGTATCTGTTAAGCCAATCTAATTGTTGCCATCAACTGACTGTATCCACCTGAACCAACGGGTGATGCTTCGTTGCCGGTTAAGAGGAAACAAAATTGTTATCCTGTCATAGAAATAAATCAGATTTATTCTTATCATTTTGTTAATGTGAAATAATATAGTAAAAGGACCAACTTTCAGTACTGAGAGTGTTTACATCAGATGAGTGATTCCGATTACATCTTTTGACCTAATATTGGTGAATATTAATTTAAAGGGAACTGCACTATTTTTGCCAATTGTTCAATGCAGCTGCATTGGTTTCAATTTTGGCATTTTTCATGCATTTAGTTGCAACGGTAAATTTAAGGTTATGGATGAAAATAAGCAAAGAACGAATTCCAGCAAATGCATGTCACACAATGTCTAATACAACAGGTAATCAAACTTTGCGCCAAAGCTGATATTGTTTTTCTATGGGGTAATATGTGCTATAACATTCTGCTATAAAGAATGTAGGCAAATCGAATTTCCATTATAAATTCCCATTTTTTGTATCAGATAATTTCAAAGGAAAAATGCTTAGTACAAATTGCATTAGTTTCTTATATGGACAATTTATTTAATGAAACCAAAAAAAAAATGCAATCGAGCTAAAATAATTTAATAATTCAAAATACGGTTCGTTGAGTGCACAGTGGCGCCAACATACACACATACAGATGTATCGGTATATAGTTTGACGGTTCGGTTGAAGGTTGATGATTGGTGTTGCCATGTGTTGCCGTTGCACTGGGCTTTGTTGTTTTCATAATGTGCTGCTGCTAATTTGTATTCGATGTGCTCAAGTTGGCAACGATCATTTCAAAATTTAAGCGTGCTTCAGTTGGCTGCTGAGAATTTGTGTCGTCGCGAAAATATGTTCACGATGGAATAAAACAACTCAGATACATCATTAATATATATTTTTATTTTAATTTTTTCCGTTCATTGTAAGTGCTCGATCAATTTCGTCGATTAATTGTTTCCGTAAATCTTGGGCTAAAATTCGTTTCGATCGGTTTTTTGTTTTTATCAGATTGTAGCGCGAGAGAAGAAAAGAAAGAAAGAAGAAAAAAAAAGGTTGTTCGTGTTCGCTAAACAAATAGATCAGAAGAAGTGTGAGGGAAAGAAAAAAAAAATAAATAAAGAGAAACAAATGGTTCAAAGTGTAAGGAAAAATTAAACAAACAAAAAAATTAAAAATTGTGAGCTGTTGTGTGTACGCGTGTGGAAACGAAAATTTCTTGGACGGAAAAAATGTGTGGTGTTCGATCAAATAAGTATTCGATTTGATTATCAGCCAAAGAAATTTTCAGTAATTCCGCGTTTCGGGAAACGAAAAGAAAATACACAAGGTATGCAACGTAGACTGTAACATTTTGAGTTGAATTAAGTCACAGAGTGTGAGAGACCGTACCGATTTAGGCAAAAACCTACGAAACTCGCTATGACGGATATGCAGCGATGTGGTAACTACGGAGAAAAATATTATAGAGCAAAAAAAAACAACAAATATACATATGTTCATACATGTATAATGATTTGAAAACAAGGTAGAATTTCGATTCAGAACAAATGTGATTTCAATCAAAGCGTTTTGTTGAGAAATCAAATGGAGTGCTAGAGCGAGAGAGATAGATAGACAGAGAGGGAAAGAAGTACAAAAGAAACCGAGATGGTTCCGGTCTGGGCTGTTACTTTGATGAATGAAAGAAGTTGGTAATTTCATGCATGAAGACGTGCGAGAGAAGAGAAGCAAAAAAAAACTCAAATCAAATGCAAAAATGCGTCTTATACACATCAAACACACACCATAACTACTGTATCTATGTTTGAGGATATTGCTCCGAAGGCGGATATTAATCAAATTCCACCTTTGCAAAAATAAAAAAAACAGTTTAAACTGTTCTCATCTCATCTCAGACTGTGAACAATAACAACGAGGTATTTTTACCCACAATTTGCAAGGAAATTCACAGAAAATATGTGAAATATATACGCGGCGCTTAAAGTTGTGAGAATTGATTGAGAAGTCAGGTTTAGATGTATGTGTTTGGAAAAGTTCATTCGTATCTTCTTATTGTGTTGAATTAATTGCATGTACCGCAGCTGTGCCTTGGAACGGTCAATATTGCAATGCTAAAGTGAAACACCAACAAGCGAGAAACAAAAAAAAACAACGTATATATAAACCGTGTGTATACCCACAGTGTTCAATTGCTCCGTTTTCAAGCGATATATTATTTCTTGTACCACGTTTTTGAGTCCTACATTTCGGACGAGTTTGACAAGAGCAATTACAGTGTGGCATCGACTATCAAAATGCACTGCCATTCGAATGAAATACAATCGGCAAGATCGACCAACCAGTCAGCCAACCAGCCAGCCAACCAAGCTAGCCAGTGAATTAATTGCTATTCACTTTTTTCGGTCGAAAATGGTCCAATTATTCTGGTTTTTATGAATTTTTTTTTCCTCTTTTCATTTTGGCTTACGTGCAACTTTTTTCCGTTTCATGAACACAATTAATGACAGTCGACAAAAATTTATGGGTCCCATAGCCTCTTGTTTACATTATGGTGTTCAGTGTACGTCTATCGGTCCTCTGCTATGCATCGTCATAGCAAGATCTATACCACAATTGACTTTGATATTTTCGTGTTGTTTTTTTTCGTGTGTTTCTTTCCTCGTTTCGTTGTTAAGAATCTGAATGGGAAATTGATTCATTCACATACACACAACGAACAACAGTGGCTAAAACATTCCCAAACAGTTTTCAAACTGAAAAAAAAAAACAATTTACGGTAAAAATTGGTAATTTTATTTGTATTAGGTGTTTGTTTCTTGTGTGAAATTGCCCGATATTCAAGGTTAATGAAACAAAAGCAACGCGCTGCGTTCATGAATAATAGTTTTCTGTTGTTTTCTCTCTCTCTCTTAAATGTAACAAAAACAATTTTTTTTTCAACTTTTCATTTTCACGTGGAGAAAAAAGTGTGTTTAGTATTTAGTTTGGCATTTGTGTGATTGTGAGTACTTAAATGAATCTCATTAAAACCGCATCGAATCAGTAGTAAGGAATTTTTTTTCGTTCAACTTCTCGCTGGTGTGAATAATGCTGGTGTTGATTAAAAATGGTTTTCTTATCAATGCCACCAAATCGCTCACACACAAAGTGTTCAGTTTTTAAAAATAGCATTCATCGCATGAAAAACTTTGAAAATAAGTCGTCATGATGTTTCATTAAACAACGATTAGTGCAGACTGACCAAACCCAGAGCTAATTTTACAAGACGCATTACTAATTTGCCAGTGTGCATAAATTTCACCGTGTCGGCAAATGCATAATTGCTAATGTGTCGTTTCAGCTGGTTTTCGTAGTTTATTTTGTTGTTGATGGCCTCACTCTCTCTCTCTCTCTTTCTCTGGTTTGTTTTCGTAAATAGATAACGTGGCTATGTTATATCTATACGGCTTAGTTTCAGAGATGCTAAATGAGTATTCTTCGCGATAAATACGTTCCGAAGGAAAATATCGTTTCGTTTAGGTTTCTAGTGAAATTTAATGGCTTTGTGCGTATCTCGTCTGAACATCATTATTGTGCGTCAATGCACATACATTCGGAACAAAAAATATTCCGGGTGTTTGTAGGGATATTTCGTGAGAGATTATTCTTCTTTCGTCGCATCATTTTGTCTGCCTTGCCTAACCCAACAACAACAACAGCAACAATTGGGCGAGCATCTTTTCGCATGTCGATTTCCATCATTTGTCTTTCGGTTTACCCCCAAAAGAAGAGAGACAAGAAAAATATTCGTGCACACACACACACACACACACAAACACACGCATTGGTAAATGGGATGACACACGGAACGATTCGTTTTTTTTGGGGTTATGTTGCTTTTTGCGTAACCATGACTGAAGATGCATTCCAATAAATACACATGGCATTGAATTTCGTTTGATGTATATTTTGCAAAATAAGCAGCAACAGCGTATGAAACATACTAGCTACTGCTGTTCTGAGTGTGTATACATTATATTCGAAGTGCAAAAATAAACGTACAATATTTATTTGTAAATAAATGTCGTTGTCGCTAGAATGCATTGCATACGTATTGCAGCAGTGATCGCTGAAAAGGCGAAACGACGACAAAAACAATAAAATGTGAAAGAACTAGAATAAGACGAGAGCTAACGATAGAGAGAGAGAGAGAGAGGGAGCGCGAAAATATTAAGTACACAATAAAGTTTGTTCATCTCAAGTTTGTAGTGTTAGTGTTTTATGCCCATATTCGAATGTAAGTGAATTTGTGCGCGTAGCAAACGAAATACAGGCACCGTTTCTTTCTTCTTCTTTTCCTTGTGTGTATTTCATATATTTTTTGTCATCCAATCCGTATAATGATACGTTATAATGTCCGCTGAAATTATGTGAAAATTCTGTTTTTGGTGTGCGGGTTTCGACGTCGTTGTCGTCATCGTCGATGAATAATATGATGCTGCAAAAATTGCCGTTTTAGTAATTATCGTCATTATCAAATTTTATGAAATTCCTGCATTTTTAATTCACAATGCCGATGGCCATAAACTTATTTCACACTAAACCGTTCCCGTTCGTTTGGGCTGCATCGAAATATTGTGTAAAAAAATTTGATTTTTTTTTCGTTTCTCTGAATGGATGTCAATGATTCCATAGGTTTTTTTTTTCTTTCCTCAGCTCTCTCTAGTTCCATTCCACGGTTGTACACAATTTTTTTTTGTGTTTCATTTTGCTGTTGTTGTTGTTGCATTCGATGCATCATCTCGCACCACCAATACACACTGCTGGTTTATTATGAGGAGAAAAGACGACGAGAAGAAAAAAACAGATCCGTGTAGAACAAAAACCGAATGCAGCCACTTTGGTTTGGCTTTAGCGGTGTTTGGTAAAGATCCTACACATGAAAGAGAGAAACTCACACAGGCAACGAAAAAAAAGAAGCATCTAAATTATTTCATACCATCCCATCCAGCATGAGAACCAAAAGAATGAGCAAACAAACGAATGAACGACATAAAAAAAAGGAACGATTTCAATGTTTCAGTGTCTAGGTATCGTGGTATGTGTGTGTGCGGTACGGTGTGTTTGTGTCTGCATGAGAATGTGTTAACGTTTTATGATGTCTCTCATGATGTTAATCATGTACAAAGACCGGACTACTACTACTATGGGAAAAAGTGCAATTGCCCATGATTGCATTTGTAACCTCCTCTCAATGCGAGCCACTGTCTGCCGTCCGCGTTCAGCTTCTCTTTTTCGACTGTTTTCTTCTGTTATTATGTGCCACATTCAAAATCCACAGATTTACTCTTATTACTGTATAGTAATTTGAATTCATTCATTCATTCGTTTCGCCGAAAAATGCATTTATGGCCCAATTCGGTTTACGCTTATCGAATGCGAAATACTGGCATTTTGTGAATCAAATTCTTCGGCATTTGGGATTGACTCCTTCGAAGGCTCCAATGCTCTCTAGGTTTACGTCTACCAAAAAAAAAAAAACAAAGCGCATTCGTTTCAAGCAGTTGATAAAACCTATTATTACTTACAAAAATTACTAACCAATCTATGAGGTATCCAATCATTTTATCTATTTACGAACCATTTAAATTGTATTGGGTCGCCTCTCAGTTTCGGGCACTTTTGATGAACGATGTGTGGTGGCAGCATGAAAGCAAGTGCGGCTCTGCATGTAGCCGATATACATTCATTTTGTGTTGTTTTTTTTTTTCTTCGTTGTATGGAATAACGAATAATTATGAACTTAAAATTGATATCAGATAAATCATATGATCTGTAGCATTATCATTTCCAAGAGTCAAAGAAATTAAAAAAAATGAAGGCAGTTTTTGGAATTATCCCACGATCATTACACTTTCCGCCTGAGAATGCGGACAAAATTCGATCTTCAATAAAATCAAAATAAGAGCGAAAGAGACAGAGAACGAGCATAAAAAATAAATCAACAACGAAATGTATATGTATATAAATATAAAAATGCTTCAGCATTATATTATTTTTTCTCTCTGTGCAACAAGCAGGTAAAATTGAAATCAAGGATGCCTCTTGCTTTGTACCGTTGCTGTTTGATGCTGCTGCTAATGCAGCAGCTTATTCTCTTGGTCGATTTCTTTTTATTTCGTTTTCGTCTTCTCATTGAACCAGAGAATGGGAATGGGAGAGAGAGAGAGAGAGAGAGAGAGAGAGAGAGAGAGAAGGAGCGCATGAAACACGAGAGACAGAATGATTTTCAGGATTTCGATTTTTGTGAACCAGTTTAGTTGAGTGATGAATTACGAAATAAAGAAGAATGAAAAATGGTGCCTTTATTCGTTGTTCACGATTGTCTCTAAACGAATTTCATGTACACGTTATATTTGATATTTACTCGTCGTCCGTCTCTCTCTCTCTCCGTGTGTTTGTGTATGTGTGCTGTGTGTCTTTGTGCTTTCGATCCGTTTGTTGTATGTGCACTGTATGTGCACATTTATTTTTGTTAAAATGCTTTTTACCCATAGTACAGAAAAAAAAGATGCGCATACCTTCTCGATATGTTCGATGCTACGGGACAATATCGCTGAACCGATAGTTTCTTTTCGTTTTTATTCCCTCTTAATTACGGTACGAAATAAAACGAAGGAGAGAGAGAGAGAGTGAGGAAAAGCCATGGGAATTTTTTGAAATGAAGAAGCAACGCTACCTTTCAACAATAACAATAACAGCCAAACAAATTTATCACCTCTACAGCGATAGATTTCCTTCGAGTCGAGCAATTGATTTGAAGTGTACGAATTATCGAATGGAAATACATGTTGTTCTCTCCCTTCGAGCCACACAAGAAACTGAAATAAAACGAAAATAAAATAGACAGGCAAACAGACAACGTAGACAGATACAATGTAATTATTGCAGCAGATATACCCTTTAAAATTCAATCATAAGGCAGCAAGTACGTTTCTGAAACGATTTCTTCTCTTTCTCTCTCTCTCTCTCTCTCTCTCTCTCTCTCTCATTTTTCTTTTGCCGAAAACCGGTCTTTTCCGGTCAATTGAAAAAATTTAAACAGCAAAATGCACTCTTCACAAATCAAAAATACAAAACGAATGGGAATAAAAACGACGGAGACAACTGAACACCAAAAAAGGAAACACGAAAATTGTTGACGAAGAAATCACATGAAACGAATGGCAAATTTCATTAAATTCAAACCCTTTTACCGAAACCAAGCAAGCAGGCGAGCAGCCATCCAACCAAATGCTCAAATGAATTTAAGTAGCACGGTTGACGTTTTTTCCTCTCTCTCTCTCTCTCTCTCTCTCTCTCCCTCTCTCTCTCTCTCTTTTGATTTTAAGTGAGCAACTGTAATATACTTACTTCATTGACAAATCCAACAAGTTTTTGTTGTTGTAGTTGTTGGTCCGCACCAAACGAATTGTACGAGTGCGCTCTACTTACAATTCCCATAATTCATTGTGATTTCTGGATGATGTTTCAAGGAGAGGCGCCAACTAACTGATTTGTGTTTTACAGTGACTTTGAAATGAGATTCTTGATTAAGTAGAGACACAACATGACAATGTGTGCTATTTGTGCTGTTTTCGCTTGTTTTGGGACACAGCAACCCTTTGAGTTTTGAATTTGACAAGTTGAAAACCACGGTGGAATTGTATACAACATTTCCCAAGCATGGAATCCATGTGATTTGGTGGTGATTTGTAACATATTGTCGGAAATGCAGTTGCTGTTTGCGGCATAGCGTTGCCTTGGCTTGTCTTCAAAATTCATAAGTGGCCATCGAACGCGCACAGACAAAGAAAAGGCAGTTGAATAGCGAGTGAGCCGAAATAATTTGCAACATGCAAATTGCTTCAATTACGTTGATTATTATTTAAGACATATTTCTTTTTTTTTCTCTTCGGTTGCATGAAACTGAACACAAAAGCAAGATGTTCACGAAAATATTTTCTCTATAGTTGTTGTTATTGTGTTTTTGTTTCTTCATTTCATTCACTGATTTCGTTTCTTTTTTCTTCTCTTTTGTTCCGAAATTTTTGCATTAAGTGTACAGAATGGCTGACAAGTGTACAGGATTTGTGAAAAAGCAACAAGAACCAAAAATAAACGATGGTGAACATAAATCAAGTGTTACTGATGATTCGACTGCGTCTACCGAAGTCAAAACTGCCATAAATGTAGATGATAAAAATGCACATAATGCAAAATCAATGTTAAGTAGTGTAGGAGCAGCTGAAATTGAATCGGCGAACGTAGCGCTTGCATCAAGAACAACTGCACACATACCATCCAACGATTCGAAAACAACAAAATTAACAACAACAGCAACAACAACCGCCACCGCCACCACCACCATCACCACAAACACACCAAACGATATAATCAGTTCGAAAACGGTACGTATAAAATGTATGACGGCGCTTTTTTAGCATTAAAGCAAAGCAAAGCAAAACCCAAAACCAACTACTCCGTAGGGCCTTGTGGCTTTAATTGAAGACGTTTCGATTGATACAAGTCATGCCAAATGGCCCAGATTAAATGTATAAAATTTTCAAATTTTTTCTTCTGCTTCCACACTTTTCCATTGTATTTTGTGCGACAACAGAGAAATTGTGTAGCGCATTGACATTTGGGTGAATCGAAACGTTTTTTTTTCTTCTCTGAGTTAAACCACAAGTGGGTGTCTGTTTCATGTCACTATTTTCGGGGACAAGTCGAAGAGTTTTATTTTTGCTGTTGTTGTGCAGAAAATGCAATTAATTCTTCTTCTGCCTCTTTTTTTTCTTATATCGTACAGATGAATGCTTTAGACGAAATCACAACATCGCCATCATCCTCGCAAGCTTCCGTGGTCGCTGATATTGTAATGACTGAAAGCGAATTGATGGAAATGAAAGAGTCAACAACAGCAGCCGGCATACAATCGACAGGTAAATGACATGAATAAGAGTACATTGCTTGTGTATGTTTGCATCTCCGTGAAGCCAGAGTAAATACCAAACAACTGACGTGTTCGACAATACATTATTTTTCGATTACCGAAACACTTTGGCCACACTAATGAATATTTGGAAATACATACATATGGGCAAAAACACAGACTGGAAGGTTACATTCGCACGATTTTTCAAAATATTCATGCTTATATCTCTTCTGTAAACCCAGAAACCACTTGAAGTATTATGCTAAGGCAAATCTAGACCACAAAAGGAACATTTCATACCAACAAACCTTTCCCATATCTCTCACACCTATAGAGATATAGCCGTTTTTTTGTTGGACTGGAAGGTTACAATTTTGGCGATATGTTTGGAGTTTATCTTGCATATATCTAAAATCCAGTTCCTCCAGCAGAGCATCCTTGTACTCCAAGGTTCTGTTCGCTGTCTGAAGGATCAAAGAAACGAACGAAACCATATTTACCCCATAAAAATCAATTCGGGTCGCTCTACGATCCAAAATATATGGACTGGAAGGTTACAGAAAAAAGACTGCCTCGTTACACAAAATTCCTCGGGCTAAATAAACCAAATATCAAATTCAAATTAGGCCAAAATAGCACGATTACATCGTAATCTAATAAATAAAATTGAATAATAGCAATGATAACGAAAATTATATATTTAAATTGACTTTTTGTTCGGTTGTGTATTTTCGCTCATTTTGACACAAAACGAGGCACAAGCACAACTACGTTGAAATGGGCCACTATAAACGCCTACATTCATATGAAAATGGTATTGGCCGATACTTTAGGATCACTTTTAAAGAAAAAAGACCACAGTACCACGATATTTGAATAAAAAAAAATTTCTAACCATTCCCGATTTTCGTGTTTTTGCTCATATATATATATACATTTTGCTGTGAAAATGGCAAAGTGGCATGACGGAGGACACACCATAAAATTATTTAATATTCATTTTGGTTGGCGTTGTTGTTGTTCATTTTCTGCGTTGCGCTTTACATTTTGGTTTCTTTATTTTAACCATGATTTTTGTTTGTTGTTGTTTCTTTCTCTATAGCGACAACGCCGATTCATAAGGGCATCGAAAGTGATTACTTGAATGAAAACGAGAATGAAGCCGACGAAATATCAGAAAATGGTGATAATTTTCTGTACGAGACCCGTGCAAATGCGGAAAAAGTTATGTATTTAAATTTAGAAACACCTGTTCTTGATGATAATAATGAATTTATGGAAGTCGATCAACGCCAATGTCACGGCGGTGTGCAACAATCACAACCGCACTACTGCAAAAGAGGCTTCCGCAAAATTTCTGAAAATGGAGCCAATTTTACGGTAACCAAACCGAAACGCTTGAGTGATGAATTCAATTCGGCCAACGATGATATTCGCAATAACCAACAGTTGGTAAGTACATGTTTGTCTGGGATGTTTGTTTGTGTGTGTACTGTTTGCATAATGCAAATGAGAAACGATTGCAATCCAATCAATTAAAACGTGTACTTTGCCTTTTATTTCAGCTGCCTGTGGTAAATACGATCGGTGAAAAGGTTTCCCAATCTGATTTGATGATCGGCGAGGGTTCACCAGATGATAACAGCAACAATGCCAGTGAAAGCGAAATAGTGAAGTTGAATCGATCGTCGGACATCATTGACGACGACACATCGACTAGCAGCCTAATTAATATTGCCAATAAACAGCCACCAATTCAAGAGCACATGGAAGACTCCTCATCGCCACATTCATCCATGTCACCGGCTGACGTTGCCATTTCCGACCAAAAACAACAAATGGAACACGTAAGTCGAGACGCAAAATTTTGCCAATTCAGAACAAAAGAAAAGCAACTGAAATCAATTTGAAAATAACGTTCGCAAATTTTTCTTCTTCTCCAAAGTTATCCGATGTTGTCGAAGAATTAACGAATCATGGCGATGAGCATCAACAGCGATCGGATCATTTTTTCGCAAATTCACAGCGCTTATTCGCAAGCTCGAACCAATTGTATACAAATAATGATGTGCAATCAATGGATGCTATTGAACGAAGAGATTTTATCAACGAACAAGAAGCTACGGCCAATTGTATATTGGGCAATAGCTCGTTGATCATCAATGGAACCAATGGAGATGAACCGAGACTGAATTTAGATTTGTTAGGGAATAGTTTTTCACAAAAAATGGAACAAATAGCCGCTTTGACTGAAGAGCAAACTACCAAACGTAATAACGCCGATAATGTGACTTCGACTGAAAATGGCGCCCAAAATGCAATCAGTGGCAATGATCAACTGATTACAACACCCACCACAAGTAGAACGAAACGATCTCGACTGCCTTTCCCTGGTGAGAAAAGCACATTGGCCAGAAGCCTAGAGAAATCGAGCGATTCGGATAAAGAATCGTCATCATTGGCGTGGGATGCATCGCATCGTGAATCACCCGACACGAATTCAACGACCATGCCAGACGCTTTGAACCATTCAGGCGGATGCAATTGTGAAACTGATGATGTTGACGGTCAACAAGAGTCCACGTCGAAATCGTCATGCTCGAACTGCAATAAGGAGCCGATCAACGAGCCTCGATTGGATGAAGACGCGAAAACTGACCTCGACGATGATGAGGATTTAGACGATGATGCTGGCGATCACGATGATATTGAGGAGAACGGTGAACCATCATCCACATCTCGTGAGTATTTTTCTACCCTTTTCTAATGTCCTTTCACTTCAAATGAACAATTTTTTTTAATCTTGCGATTCTGTTCCGCAGGAGCTAATGCAAGCCGCGCACGGTGTAATGGGAATAGTTCTTGTACTAGCACTTGTAAAAATAAGCATTCAAATTCCGATAATTCGAACCAAAATGCCGCCGCCGCCGCTGCTGCCGCAGATCTTCCGGCGAATGTATCTCCGTCGTACTATCGAGAGGCTGGAATCGTGCTCGAAGACGAAGACATCAAAGACTACGAAAATGAGACTATCGATAAGAATTTCCGTCTAATGATGGGCCTGGAGCCAGAGAATCCGTATGCCGATTGGTCGTGCGAAGTGAATTCGGACGGCGAAGAAGTGTGTACATGTCGTGATTTTACCGATAACGAAACGACCGCAAACAGCGAAGACGAACTTCCAAGTCGGGACGTTGATTTGTCGTGTTATTCAATTTCCGCCGATGTTCTGAATAGTAATGGCAATTCGTCAACGGACACACCGACATCGCGTAATCATCGCAAGAGGAAATTAACCGAAAATCGCACCTCAATATTCAGCGACACAACGAGTGGCTGCAGCGATGCAAATAGTAACGATAGAAAACGCCTTGCACTCGATGAAAGTAAGTCGTTGACACTTTTCTTTTTGGTCAATTTTGAGCCAAACACTGTAATTTCAATGGGATTAGAATTTAATCCATTGGGATTTTTTAGCTAAAAGATCCAAAAGGATTAATATTTAATCCCAGCTATATGAAAAAAATCCTTGCGTCAAAACATTATTATTTAAACGAAATATTTCAGAAATTCAAATTGTCGAATTTGTTTTCAATGTGTAGCATTGTAAATGTTCAAGCGGCTATTGCAAAGTGATATACTAACACACGCAAACGCACTGTCATCAGTTCTGTGCAGAAATCACAATACAAACAGAGGCTAGCCACTGTATGTGAATGGTCGTGTATACTATTCGTTTGTATTGTGATTTCTGCACAGAACTGATGACAGTGCGTGTGCGTGTGCGTGTGCGTGTGCGTGTGTTAGTATATCACTTTGCAATAGCCGCTTGAACATTTACAATGCTACACATTGAAAACAAATTCGACGATTTGAATTTCTGAAATATTTCGTTTCAATAATAATGTTTTGACGCATGGATTTTTTTCATATAGCTGGGATTAAATATAAATCCTTTTGGATTTTTTAGCTAAAAAATCCCAATGGATTAAATTCTAATCCCATTGGAATAACAGTGAAGTCTTGAGCCGATATTCAATAACATAATTTCGAATGTCTATTTCAGCGGGCGTGTCGCATAAATTAAATTCCAGCTCGAGTGGTAGTCAACCCAGTACCCCAACTAGTTCATCAACAAATATTAGCCTACGAACACCACGATCGGTGATTCCGACGCGAGACAATCCACCGCCCGAGTTGTCCGATTGGTTGAATCAATTCAAGCAATGGTCACACGTTGAACGTTTAGTAGCCGTCGATCGGCTAATTGAGCATTGTGAACCGACCCAAGTGCGGCACATGATGAAGGTCATCGAACCGCAATTCCAACGAGACTTTATATCGTTACTGCCCGAAGAGCTTGCACTTCAAGTTCTATCGTATTTAGCACCAAAAGATCTGCTTCGAGCCGCTCAAACTTGCAAAAGTTGGCGTGCACTCTGTGATGACAATTTGCTATGGAAAGAGAAATGTAAACAGTTGAATATTTCCATTGAATCGTCAAAGGATCGCCCGAAACGTGGCCGAATTGGTAATATGCCGCCAATATCGTCACCGTGGAAGGCAGCTTACATGCGACAACATATCATTGAAATGAATTGGCGTTCGCGCCCAATACGTGAGCCAAAAATTCTCAAAGGTCACGATGATCATGTCATCACATGTCTACAGTTCTGTGGCAATCGCATCGTTTCCGGTTCCGATGACAATACGCTAAAAGTGTGGTCGGCCGTCACCGGAAAATGTTTACGCACTTTAGTCGGACACACAGGTGGCGTTTGGTCTTCACAAATGTCAGCCAATATCATAATCTCGGGTAGCACAGATCGAACACTGAAAGTTTGGAACGCTGACAATGGCTATTGTATCCATACACTCACCGGGCACACGTCCACCGTTCGATGCATGCATTTACATGAGAAAAAGTAAGTGAACGCCGAACAATTCTTCTTCTCTAGCTAGATTTTCCCAACTAAATTTCTTTTAAATCTCTGACATAGGGTTGTAAGCGGATCACGGGATGCGACGCTACGCGTTTGGGATATAGTACAAGGCAAATGTTTGCACACACTGGTAGGCCATTTGGCAGCTGTTCGATGTGTACAGTATGACGGGAAACTTGTGGTTTCTGGTGCTTATGATTACATGGTTAAGGTTTGGAATCCAGAGACAGAGGAATGTTTGCACACACTTCAAGGACACACAAACCGTGTCTACTCATTACAGGTAATTTTCGCAATCAACAATTTTCGCTTCAATCCCTTCTTTGGTTGCGCTAAAACAGATGCAGAACAAAATAATTGAAACATTTTTCTGTTTTTACTCATTTTTAGTTTGATGGCGTACACGTTGTATCCGGCTCACTTGATACGTCAATCCGCGTTTGGGATGCAATTACAGGAACCTGCAAACACACTCTAATGGGTCATCAAAGTCTTACGTCTGGCATGGAATTGCGGCAAAATATTTTAGTATCTGGAAATGCTGATTCCACCGTCAAAGTTTGGGATACAACCAATGGCCAATGCTTACAAACATTATCGGGTAAATAGAGTTGTTATTAAAATGTAGCTCAATACAAAGTTCAATACAAAGTATTTGATATTGGTTCTTTGGCTTCTTCGTCGAGCGTACAGCGAGAGAAAGTTACCACAATGCAAAACTAATCCGTTTGTTATTTTTGTGTTATCCATTAGGTCCAAACAAACATCAATCGGCTGTTACATGCTTGCAATTCAATTCTCGATTCGTCATTACGTCATCGGACGATGGTACGGTGAAGCTATGGGATGTTCGCACCGGCGAATTCATTCGTAACTTAGTCACATTAGAATCGGGCGGTTCCGGTGGTGTCGTTTGGCGAATACGGTAAATATCAATTTGAAAATAAATCCTAATCTCTGATTGAATTCAATCCTTGAAATGACCATAACTAACGAATTGATTTCCATTCTTTCATTTCTATTCACAGGTCAAATGACACCAAATTAATATGCGCTGTTGGATCCCGAAACGGCACAGAAGAAACTAAATTGATGGTATTGGACTTTGATGTTGAAGGTGCCTGTTTGAAATGCTCATAAACTTAAGTGCGTTCGTCAGAATCAATCTCGACGGAAATCACAATTACAAAAAACACACACAAAAATGCAAATAGACAGAAAAAAACCGGAAAAAAAACAATAATAGATAAAACCAATTACAAAAGTGAACAATTTTATCAATGAAACACAAATGAGCATAAAAACCAGATAACGAGCAAAAAGAAAAATGAATTATATTGTATTTTGTTCTTTTAATCAATTACAAAATGCAACTGTCAATCAGATATAATGTGATGTGTTAATTTGAGCATTCAATACTGGTTTATTGCACGGCGAACAAGATGATTAGAAACCAATTAAAATGAAATAAATAACAAATTATTAGCATAGTATGAAGCCATACGCACTCAAAGATCTGCAAATTTTCCAATTTGAACAAAAAAAAAACAAAAAAAACAAGTATTGGCAATTATTTTGGTCGTAGGTAGTTGAAACAATTAAATGTATAAGACGTATGACAAACAAGCTACAGAGCGAGAGAGGGGGAGAGGAAGACCAAAAAGGGCGAAAGAATACAGAAAACGCAGAATTATTCGTTTTATTGTTGGACGGAAACCTTTGATATAAATTGAACAACAACAACAACAAAATTGCAACATCAATAAATGAGCAAATTAAACATATATCATTAGTACGTTTATCCTACTGTCAATAATCAATCAATCAAGCGAGCGCAAGCTAAGAAATTCATTCCAGACGCAAATTACGCCATTTTATGCAACCTCCGCATATGTAATGAACCAACCAAACAGCAGCCGTTTCCATTTTGGTGTGTGTGCTTATTTTTTTAATTTTCAAGTTAATTTGTTTTATTTCGAGAATGTTCAACGACAAATTGTGAAAGAAAAAAAGGGATAGAGAAAAACAGTTTGAGATATTCACACCTTGTTCAAATTATATTATGATTGAATGCAATTTATATTGAGTATACCGTGCATTTTGTCCTTTCAGTTGACTCATTCTAATACTAGACATTTTGCGTATGTGTTTTCTGTTTGAACGAATACGTTTTTATTTTGTTGATAAAAAAAAAGAAGAGATCGATGAGGAAGGCGAAGAAGAAATTTATTGTGTACAATTTATTGTTGAAAATTTTGTTTTGGAATGACGTTTTTTTTCTGTTCCATTTTTTTTTTATATGCGAAAACCATAGAAATTCATGAATGCTCCATCAAAATCGATATGATGCAGCTCTGTATAGAAATTGGCAAAAGCAAAAAAAAAACTGTCAACTAAAAATAAGGAAGTATTTTACACCGAAAATTATTGTATTGATTTTGACTGAAAACAGAAAGTGTATAATTGGTTTACATCACTACTTTTAATGCTTTTTATTACCATTAACATGAACGAAATGAGAATTTTTCTCCGGCGAACAACAAATTTATATTTTTTATCAATTTAATGCCACAAACATAGAGTGTTTGTCAACAAAACACACACACACACACACACACCCACACACATTGTCACATCATCAGTCATTGTTCCGTCGCTTCCTTATTTTTCATTTGATTTTTACATACTCTCTGAGTTGGTATAGTTTTTAATTTTCGAAAAACAATTTTTTTAGTTTAGTTATTTTTTTTATTTGGTTTTTCCTCTGAATTTTTGGCTCTACTTTTAGAAAGCGATTTCTTTCCTTTTCGTTTTCAACTATTTTTCCCCATTTATTTTTTTACATTTCTTTTGAAAAACCTGTTTTTTTAGCCAAATTTTAAGTTTGTTCTACTTTCAAACACAGAATTTAAACAATCGTTGAACTAATTGGAATAATGGAGAGAACGGGAGAGAGAGAGAGAGAGAGTAAAACAAGAGAATTGAAAGAAGAAGAAGAAAATTGTTATAATTACTCTTTTTAGGTTAAAAGAAAATTTGTAATAAATTAGGTTGGACTAAATTTAGCTGTAATAGGTAAACAATTTTATACTCAATTTTAGTTATTTGGTTCTTACTTTCTCGCAACAATAATTTTAACGAAATAAAAATAGAAACAAAAATTTGAAATTACCTACGTGTTTATTATTCAGTGTGCTGGAAATTAAGGTGATGCAATCGAAATGAGTTGGTCATGTGCATAAGAACGTAATGATAATTTATACATATTCCGTACCTTTTATTGCCATACATTTTTGTGTTGCATTTTATGCAATCAGCAGACGTCGACGACGACGATCACCCCTACTATTTCCTCTCGATTCAAATGAAACTATTACCATTTTATGTGTTTTATTCAATTTTAGTTTAATTTTGAAAGTTTTGAAAATGAGACTTAGTTCATAATAAAAGTGCTGGTGGGATGCGTATAACCTAAATACATTGTGATCAAAATGTATTATGAAATTTTCAATCTTGATTTGGACATCGTTACAAATTAGAATTTTTTGAATATATTTTATGAATTACCGGCCCTCCATCCAAATCAAATCGATCGTTCGATCATGCATCTTAATGTTTATTCAATATTTCAAATAATTTTTGTCGATTTTTGATGCTGTCGGTTTTGACTAAGAGCCGTTTTTCACGCGAATCATCGCCCGTTGATGGAAAAAGCTTTTGCAATTGCTTTATACTGTCAACAACTTCATCGGCTCCAACTAGATCGGCATTTTTGCTACCGTCCTCGATTAGATCGGGTATGATACGTGTATTGCTATCATATTTATTGGTGGTGTATTCGTTTACGGATCCGGTTACGGTGTAATCGGTTGTGTATTCAGAGTTATCATTAATTGTGGTTGTCGTTGTTGTTGTCGTTGGCAAATTGAACGCTTTTCTCGTGGTCAAATCGAAAAATTGTGCTATATTCACCGGTGAAAATGTTGTTGATGGGATAAATTCATTGACTGTTGTACTCGGTTCACTTCTATCAATGCTGAACTCCCGGAAATTGGTCGTTTGTGCGATTCTTTCCATATTGGCGGCACTGCTGTATGGGCTGGCAGTTGTTCGCCGAGCAATCTGATTACGAATCGCGGTTTGAGCAGCGTATCGATTTGGATTGTTAATCAATGGAACGGTGAATCGTTGATTTTGCTCTTTATTTTGGAATGTATTGAGCCGATCACCGGAGCTTGATTTGTTATTTTCAATGGGTGTCAACTCATTGGTTGTCACTTCATCGGTAGTGGTTTCTTCTTTTAAACCCAAAATGCGATTCAATTCATAGAATCTCTCCGAATCGGTGCAATCGAAATTCATTTCATCAGTTCGTACGCATGTGAATGCTTCCTAAAAATAGAGATTCCGATAAAATGGTGTAAATAGTCACAAGTTGGATCATTTTAATTTTCGGACATTGAAAACTTTACTTGATTGAAAGTGGTCTCCTCTGGACAAATGAAGCTCCATCGAAATTGTCTCTCTTGGCCATCGGGATAGGTGACTGGCAAGCAAACATGGAAAATCTGACAATCATTCTCTACATCCGCATAATATCCATAAGAACGACCGCGGCACGAAAAATTATCAGTTATATCACTGCGAATAGACGTTGCATTGCTTGGAAGTGTTAAGCGTGACAAACGATTAACCACCGTGCTGACTTCCTCCGATTCGAATGGTTCGGCGGTGGTTGTGGTTGTGGTTGTGGCTTTTGTGGTTGTAAACGGGACACGTTCCTGAATCGTAATTGGTCGTCTCTTCGAGGGGAGTAGAAAGCGAATTTCAAATCAATTAATCTATCATAATAATAATAATGTTGAATCACTTAGATTTGGGTCTAAATGCTCAGTAGCCGCTTTTTGCTTTGGAAATGATCAAAATTATTCAGGAGTCACGCACTTTTTGAAAAACAAATTAATCATTCATCGAAAACGCACTGTTTGTGACTCACACTAAAATTTCTGATCGGAAATGAATAAATTAAAAATGGAACAAAACTAACCCGGACAACAACGGCTGCATTGATGCAATCATTCACAACAATTGACACGATCAAAGTAATCCAAAGCGGAAGCATTTTCTTTTCAAATAATCCAACTTTTTTTTTATCAATTAAATTAATTTCAAGTTATTCTAATAGAACACAACTGATTTGCTTTTCGGTTTTTTTTTTCTGCTCAGCCGATTGGGTATAATGGTGAAAACAAATGTTTATAAATGAAGTGATTGAACTGTTTGGCGTGGCACTGCGATGTTCAAAGAACAAAGACTTGTCGAAAAATGAGCGCATTTCGATGGTGGCACAAATTATTTATATTCGTCGACGCGCGACAACGTTCTAATGAAAACCCGTTAGTTCTTGGCCCTAAAGCGGTAGACAATTGTAAGTATGAATTTGTGATTTGCTTGAACGTATTTAATTCACTTAAATAATAATAATATGTAGGTACATCGTTGGTACATTATATCGCAATTTATGCCAAAGAAATTACGTATGATAAATATTCATGACTGTGGCTCATTCAATTGAACGGCGTTTTGAACAATTCAACGGACTGAAGTCGAAAAAAAGAGTTGAAGAGCAAAGAAGAGAGAGAAAAAAAAACGTACAACAACAACAACAACAACAACAACAACAACAACTGTATGCATACATAACACAAACGGTGAAAGAACATGTGGTGTTCGATGTTAGTTGTGTATTATGGGCTTGTTGATTTGATGGGAATGATTCATTCGGCTAAACAATTTCAAGAAGAAGACGGAGCAGAATTCTTAATTAATCCCATGCATTCGTAGAAAACGAAGAGAGAACTACAGAAAAAGACGAAAACTGGCCAACATTTTTCGTCCACAAGACAAAGCTATCTATCATGTTGCGATATTTTATTTTCTCGTTCTGGTTCTATGTGAAATCAAATATGTGCATGAATGAGACTTGCACAAAAACTATATATTGCAAATGCGAAGAAATGCGCGGTGTTCAGTAGAACGCACGAACACGAACGCGAACCAAACCAAATCGGTCACGATCACATTTTGCCTAAAAATGACGCATTGCAATATGTTTAACGCGGAAGATACGACGAGATATGCGATCACGAACGCGCACAAATACGTGCCATCTTATTAATTTCCAATGCGATTGTCGTTTATGCTTTTCGAATTTAATGTGACATTACCATCAAAGAGCGTACGAAATATAGGCCATTGTTAGTCATTGCGTTGCGCTGTGAAAAGATAGATATGTATGTGTGTGTGTATGTGCGCAACTTGAGTTCCATGCTCTATGTGAAGTGGCTTCAAAGAGCCGGCCTCAACTTTTCTCGCTTCACTTTATGTTGCAATAATTCATTGGGTCTTTTATTTTTGTTGGAAATCTCAGGCATTTTCAAACATTTGTACAATTTTATTGACATAACGGAAAAATGCTATTTTTATTGGACAATCTAGCTAGCCTAGCTTGCTGGTGGAATAAGAACGAAAATGAAACGACGAAACAAATAAACGAAAAAAGAACAACAACAGCCGAGAAAATTAACACAAATTACGATCTCTAATTCCAAATGCCGTGCATTTCATTATGTTCGACATTTTCAATCACATCGGGCCAGAGCCCCGTTGCTGTTGTGTTCCAGTTGATGACACGAACGATACACAATACATTTCGAAACAATTGATGGTCAGGCGTATCACGTTCAAGACCATATATGTATATAAATCAATTGCGAAAACTGTCAGTTCATTTAAAATCTAATGAGAAACAGTTTTTTTTTCACTCTCCCAATTGGATTGCGGTGTGAAATTTTTGTGTGTGAGCGCTTCGTTCGGTTTTTAATCAAATATATATTGGTATCAGTAAATTCGTCGAAATTCTTTTTCTTCTACTCTTGTCCATTTTCGTTGTGAAAATCAATTTGATTATAACAATTGGAATAAGTATGTGGAAATACTTGATTGAGATTGTGTGAATGATGCAGCAGAGCAAAATATAGAAAAAGTCATTTCGGTCATAGTAATCGGGAGATGTGAGAGAGACGTGTTTCGACATGTTTCACCATCATACAATAATAAAAGTGCAACAACACTCGATCCAACTCGATGATTATCTGCGAATGCACTGGCAGTATCATTTCCGTTGTTTTTCCATATTTTTCCACATTGAACACGGACAGGGGATCTTTGAGAAGAATAAAGAGAAAATTTAATAGTTTTACATTCAACCCGAAAATTGTGTGAGTCGTATTGTATGAATACAGAAAGCGTTTGAGCTGTGCTTTGTTTTGGCCCCCTTCAAAAAATGAAGTGCATCCACACGCAGGAATACATGAACTGAAACTCCAGCGCCCAAAATGAAGAAAGTTCAATGCATGTTTTCATTACATATCGTACAATGGTAAATTGCATAAATAGTTCCGTAGTGAGAGCATCTTTTGAATTTGATGAAGACAAGAAAACACCACTGGATATTGTTACCAACATTTAAGCATATATACTCACTTTTCTAATTCACTTGCCACCATAAAAGACTTGCATGCGGAGTGGTATCCGTTTGTGTTCGATATACAGTGAGTGGTTGAACAGAAGGAATTTTCATTCTGTTTTGTATTGTAATCGCAAGTCGAGAAATATTACACACTCCCTGCGCTCACTGCGGTGTAGATGGAATACTTACTCGAGGAGCATCGTGTGGCGTGAGTGTACGTGAATTTCACCATTTTATTCCCAATTCAAATGTTTACAATCAAACTACTTCCTCGATGAACTAATCTCAACACCTTTCGATTATTCCACAGTGTACACACATCCACACACGAACAACGGATAATCGAATGAAATGAAACGTGGAGTGGCCAACATAAACACAACAAAACAGGAAGAAAAAAAAAGTGAACTGAATAAATAAAAATGCTTACTAAATTAGCACACACAAACACATAGCACACAAAACTTTGGATTATAGTCAAAGGAACTTGGAAAAACTTTTTCGGCCAATTCAAAGGTTCTCACGTTATCATGTAGCAACAAAGGAAATCATATATGGCGATCTAAGATTGAAAAATGTGTATCACAAACATGCACTATTTCGAGATATTAGAACTCCAGAACAATTTTCGAATCATGAATTTGCCCATTCTGTTCTGTGCATCGTATGTTCCAATCATGTTTTTGGACTTTTTGTTTCTCTTGAGCGTGCTCGTGTATCCCTCCATCTAATTTTGTGTGTTTATGTGCATAAATGTTGGTTTGGTAGATATTTTTCGGGTAAGCTAAGACCCATTTCAGTTTATCGGTTTAAGTACAATGCATTTGCATCGGTTTTAAGCAATTGCGTTCGAACCAAACCAAAACAAAACAAAACACAATGAACAATGCACAAATCCACAATTTTCGTAAGTTCATCAGTCGAATGCCACTCTCACTATTCAGTTCACCGTTTTAAGCAACACCAGCCAACTGTATGTATATGAATGGAATGGAATGGAAGTGAAGAAAGTGCTGCTGCCTTTGCATCAACACAACATATTACAGAAACATCAACACTTCTGCTCATAATGTGTGTATAATACAAGCCATGGTCTATATCTCATCGAATGTGTAAATTTATGGCTTTCATTGGTAAAACGTGTAAATAGTCTCCAGAGAATCACACTCAAATTGGTCTTATAATATTCATACATTTTCGTGTGTTTCGAAAAATTGCTCATTTTACTCGTTGTACTGAAGCGCAGAGATAGAGAGCTTATTGTTGAACGGTGATACAAAAGGAGATAGCCATTATTAAGTTTAACCCATTAAGACCAGAACTTTGTTCGGCGATGTCGAACGTACACTTTATTTGACATCTTATGCAGTAACGTACGGGATTATACAAAAGGCCGAAACGAAGAGCAAAAAATGAGTCGTCTGTAAACTTCGAATTCGAATATTGGACAATGATTCGTTGCCTTACCTTGAAGAATGGTAACATGATACCTTGTCGAACACTTTCAAACGACTTAAACAAACACCTCGATCACATCATTTCTTCAAACTGTCATCTGGCTTGTTGTATCATACGATGCAACGTTGCATAGTTAAAACATTCCACCATTTCACATGTTCAACCTTAATGATGCTAACCGAGTTTTATTCAGCTCGGACTAAAGCTTTTGCAGCATTTCCATTGTATATCCAATATCGAATTTTTGCCGTTCTTGTTTTGTAGCCATCACCTAAATTCAATCAATTTCACATGCCACACGAGTTCTACAGGAATACACTTCAACAACTAATATTAAATCTCGCTCAGCTAAGATCAAACTATCAAGCATTCTCAACAGCAGAGTACAGCCATAACTTTTACCGATTTCATTTCACAGTTTGACGCATTCGCCAATATGAATTGGCGAACCGAATGGAAACGAGATCGTTTGGAACTTGAATCATAAAAATTGCCGTTAGCAAAACCATGAATTAAGATCGCTATTAAAAATGACACACTTCCCTAGCGTAGAGAGCAAGAAAGAAAAAAAAAATGTAATGAAAATTATTTCATTTTATTTTACTCACACACTTTCCATCTAATTTTCTAATTAAATTTTATGCAAATAGACGTATACATAAATTAATAGGAATGCATAACATGCTCCTGGATTTCAGTTTATTTCCAAAATAAATGTTTAGATTTTATCGCTTAAGCCAAATAAATAATATTTATTTTCAAGAGAACGCTTAGTTTCATATAGTTGAATCGAAATACATATTTACTTTTATTGACAATCTGAGTTTAAATTTTAAAATAAGAACTTTCAAATGAAATATTATGGAATAAAGATGCAGACATGAGCAAGATATTTTTTTTTTAGATCTTCATTGTGTCGTTGAGAATGAAAATGGATATATATGAATCACTTATGTGTTTCTAGTAAGAAATAGGGGACAAGCGTCTAAAGCAAAATAGAAGATCTTGAAATGTTCTACAAATTTGCAAACGACATCCATCCTCTAATAATTACCAGGAATACAAAAATGATTCGCACATAGATGCGTGGTTTCGGCTCAATCCATTTTTATTTTCAACTGAATAATTGTTCATCGTTTAATGATCATTGCAACAAGCAGTAAAACCTGCAATACTCCTTTCGTTCACATCAAAACACTTACTGGCTCATTCAAGCGGAATAACGTTGGTTTCCAATTTCCCTTTAACACTTGTGAATTGTAAAATTAGAGAAGGCTCTCCAACATTCAAACATGAAAAAACTACTAAGCACCATGGCTAATCCAAGTTGCGTATTTTGTATAAAACGAGATTAGTTGCTCATATCTAATAAATATTTTTTAACGAATTGAACTGATCCGAATGAGAACTAGTCGCAATCTTCACTTTATTCATACAATTATAAGTGACATAATTAGACATTTTATTACGATATCTTGAGTGTTTGCATTTGTGTTGACGCACCGCACCTCGTTTAGTCAAACAAAATGAATGGAATCATTTGGACCTGGATATACGTATATATTCTAGTTTTCACCAAAATCAATCGAATAAAAATACATTCATTTCGATTTCACGAATACAATGGTATAGTTGTCTAGAGCTATTTATAACAGTGTCACAGGATCTTCGTTATAATCCTCATATCAGATTGTGAATTTGAATGGGTCAGTGGATCCGGAAGTGATTTTTTCCCGTTTTTGCTAAGTTTGAAATAAAAATCTCTTCTATTTCATCATAATTGCAATACGCTTGATTTGAGCGGCGTGATACAGATAAATAAAAGCAACAAAGCCGTACGAACAACTTGAAATATGGCTAAAAGTTGAAATTTTTATCAAGATCACAATCGAAAGATGCGACTTGAATCGGAAGTTGTGCGTACGCAGTGCACACCTTGACACACACACACACACACACACACACACACACACAAATAACGTAGCATCGGTCAAGGCAAACGATTCCGTTTCATTTTCAAAGCTTTACAAAAGTTTTGCATCAACCAATTAAGCCCAATCGTAGACTTGCAGGAATTGTGTTGCTGAACTTCAGACTCAATTCAAACTATTTAATAAACGATAAAAATAAATATCACACTTTTCACACTAAGTAATTAAATTATTGATGCGATTAGTAGTTTATGGAGATTAGATATTGTGTATATGATATAATGTGGTGGCGCCCTGTGTTCGTTTCAAAGTAATGACAATTAAACTGGCATTATTTGGAATTTGAAAATAGTGTGTGCTGAATATTTCCATTGTAAATTCAATGTGACTAATATCAATAGTTGATTTGTGCGAAGGAACACATTGACATAATGTCCCATCAAATTGCACATGTAAGTGTGATGTAAATTGCACATGTATGGAATGAATATAAAAGGGACAGAGTCGGTGAGTCGCGTGCGAATCGCAATAATAAACCGAATGCAATGCAATTGCAACTTGAAGCACACAGTAATAGTAAGCGTTCACAAGTTCATGTTAATCGAAGAATCTGACACATGACAACTTCGGCTTTGGCTGGTTTTGTATCGTATTGCTGTGTGGATTGTCAACACAAATGCATTTTTTTTTTCTCCGCATATTCACGATTCTGTTTTGTGTATATGGTGTGCACTGTGCGTCGGAATGGGCTACCATAGCGAATTGCACCAAGATCGTTCATATTTAATGGACATTATGTGCGTGAACGATCCAGCTCACGCTTTTTTTTCTTTCTTTCATTCTCTCTTCATATTCCTCTGCATGTAGATGTATTGCAAAACAGAAAAAATGTATGATCCAAATTTGAGCAGAAAACAAAAGATTGGCTCTTGGTCTTGGATCGCATGTCGATCATTTAAACAAATGGCATGGAACACGATTACGTTTGTTGTTGAGGCGATACATTTCGCGTGCTTTCCATTCCAAAGCAAGATATGAGTGTGCTCGAGCAATTATACTGTTTGCCCATTTTCGCGATGAGGATCATTTAATTGTCGCATAAATTTATTTGTGAGCTTTCTTCAGCTGTTGATCTCACAATTGATATTATTATTATTATTATTATTATTTCGAAATCGATTTCCGTGCACCGAATTGTGGTCAAAATACTCGACCTTATCGCCTGTTTGCCGGCTTTTTGGCCCCGAAACAGAAGAAAAAACTGAAGAAAAAAAAGAATAAAGAATGAAATATGCAAGAGTAACTCAATGTAGAGCTGAAGCTCTAAAATGAATTGATACGGACACCACTGATAGTACACACATGCAACTATTGTGACCGCCTGTGCATTGTGTGATTGTGTTTTCTGCATGCTTCGAACACAAACACATCGCCATGCAATCGTATGAAATACGACATATTTATATCCGCAAATATACGACCATGCTCACAGTGCATACAGTTCATAACGTATAAATTACGAATTGAATTGTAGAACGCCCTGTCCAAGTGTTTTTTGTTGCTTCCATTCGGTGCGCAAAGCAGCGCTAATTTTAAGCATTGCGACGGTTCCGATCGCTTTTGAAACCCGCACAAAAATAGCGTGCGCGTTTGAGTGTCTTTGAACTTGATAAATTCACACACAGTGTGACCATTTGGAAACGGTTGAGGCACATAGGTAGGCGGCAGAATCGGCATGAAATTCAGAGTATTAGAGCGTGGTGTGTGTCTAACACTTGAGCGACTAAAAAAGTATACGGAGCGAACACAGAGAGACGGAGACAGCGCTCGCATAAATGCAACCGTGCAAATTACGTACGTTTACGCTCATACGAGCACACACGTGCATTCGGAATTCGGCATTCGGTGTGTGCCGTATTCAACATCGCTCCACATACACACGTAAGTAGATTGTTGAGCTAGCATGAGCACGATGTGTGTATGAATATTCCAACTCCAATATAATTCCCTTATTCTTATGTCTTGCGTCTGTTACTTGTTGTTGCTGTTGCTGTTGCTGTTGCTTGTCCGCATATATACACATGTATACATATTTTTTTTAAATATAATTTTTCATCTCATTTCGATGTTGTCGCTCGTTTCTTCGCATCGCATTCGAATTCTCTTTTTTTCCCTTCCTGTCGATTTCTGGTTTATACTATTTCACACATACAATGCTGTCCCGTTTTTCCCTGTCCTTGTCTAACGCGCGCTCTCGTTCGTCGCAACTTTGCTTTTGCCTCGCTTCGCAACACGAGAATCACCGAGGACCGTTGATGTGTGTACACAGAAAATTTTTCACAACTAGTTTATACTTATGCCAATACACAAACATATATATATATATATACATATACGATATAGAGCGCTCAAAGCACACCACACACAACTCACACAGTACACACTATGCTCACAACACACCGCTCTCTCTCACATATAACAGCAGCCAGAGCAAGCACACACAGCGAGAGAGCGCGAAACATTTGACTGACGTGATTCTCGGACTTTGTATGTACCGTCTCGTTGAGGCATTCAGTCATCAACTGATACTACTCGAATCAAATTGATTGCACTGCTCGAAATAACTGAACGCCAGTGTATTATTGTTGCGCGCTGTTCACAAACTCTATGTTTTCGCTACGCCACGGTACGGAAAGGCAACAGTTTTTTTTTTCTCGCAGTGGTCTTCATATTAATTGCGAATTCGCACACAATCTATTCGACGGAAAATAACATTCGAAATAAAACAAAGTAACAACATTTCAAATTTAAAAAAAAAATAAATAAAATTGAAGAAAAAATCAGAAAAAAAAAACACATTTATGCAGTACATCTGAACAACGAAGAAGAAGAAGAGAAAAATATACGAACGATCCACACGATAAATGCATTAAAAATAAAAACATTGTCGTCGCCGTCGTGGTCGTCAAGCGACACATTTTCACGCGCCGTGTTTTTGATTCGGTTCACAAACAGTGTGCACTTTGCAGTTTTTGAAAGAAAATTTCATTTGACTCTTTTTTTGATTTGGTTTTTCAATTTTAAATTATTTGTTACTGTTAACATTTGTGCACACATAACGCGATCTGCAACAGCAACATCGACAGCTACATCAACACCAAGCAAAACGAAACTGCACAAACAACAGCGGTTACGCGGCGGTACAGTGTATTTACATATGTGTATGTTTTTGTTGAATGTAATTTTTGTTTTTCTGTTTCTGTTTCATGAGTTATCGTAAGTTCTTCGGGGAATGATCAAAGTTTTGTAAACGAAAATTTGTTAGAGTTTAATTGGACAAAAATAGAAAGAAGAGCAAGAAAGATAGAGAGAAAGAGAAAAAAAAATGAGCAGCGCAGTTCGCTAATCATGATTAAGCCATACGAATAGATTAAATCATACTGTGACATTTAAAATGCAATAGTTAAACACAACATGCGTAACTTGAAATATATATTAACCTGAATGATTGCGACCGATTAAAAACAAGCACCCAAGATGTATCGAATGTAATATGAATTTAAAAAAAAAACACACACACACACATCAAAAACACACCGAGATATTTCGTTCAATGCAACACGTGCACAACTAAACGTCATTTGCGACGGTGCGATAAAACGCTTTGAATGAATAGAGAGAAGAAAAAAATCGAGGTTGAATGTGCATTGAGCATGGCTGTTGTGTTTAGAGCGTTGAACAAAAAAGGAATATATTTAATATCTATATATATATATATATATATATATATATGGTGGACAGGAGAAAAATGTGCTTTGGATTGTGCAAGCCAGAGGATCAAAGCTTGGTGCGCATCAACATTCGATCCTACTATCACACAAAATATCAGCACGATCATCGTCGTCGTCGTCGTCGTCTTCATCACCATCACTATCATCATCATCATCATCATCGTAAATATGTAGTTTTGTTGATTTTTCTTATACAGTTTTGCATTTGGCATGACGTTACTATCAATCAACTAAATTGGGATCGAGAGAGCACCGCCAACTACACCACATGAACAGTATAATGAAATAAAAATGAGAGAGAGAGATAAACGAACGATATAAACACGGTGAATAGAGAAAAATATTCATTGTTGTCATTGTGCTTACTTGATTATTAGTCATTTCGATTTGTCCGTGTGTATTTTGTGCGCGCTCGGTGTGTGTTTGCTGTTTTCATGATATTTCATTTTGAATCTTCAGCAGTGATTTAATTTGAATACTTAATATGAGTTGACTTACAAAGTTGCTGTGAAAATTTAAACAGGTTTTTTTTCTCTCTTTATTTTAATGGTCAAACTGAATCGGACTGTGGAGTAGCGCCAAAAGAGAGTAACAGAGAGATAAAATGGAAAAAAAGAGGGAGAGAAAGAGAAAAGGAGAGACAGATGAATGAGCAAAAACAAACTGTACACATTTTAAGTATATAAATGCACGAATGCAATGTAAATAGTAAATGCATCACATCGAGATGTTTCTCTTTCTCTCTCTCTCTCTGTCTGTCTCTAGCTTGGCTCGGTGCTGTTGCATTTTTAACTTATGTCGGCAATCGACTCAGTGTCTGTATACTATAATTTGGCGTTATTTAAAGGAATTGCATACAAATTGCTACTTACTGACAGACGATTTTTTTCAAAGTTGGCATCCGTGTTTTCTTTTCATTTTTTGTTGTTGCTGTTGTTGTTGTAAGTTCGATCATCATTATGCTGTCGATCATTTGCATCCAACAATCGTATGGTGTGTTCAATTTAGTTTTTCATTTTCGTCTTCGTTTCAATTTTTTTTTTTTGGTTTTGATGTACATTTCAAATGCGATCACGAGAATGATCGGTATCTCGATCGGTCCAAATTGGACTGAACTGCACACAAAAATTCAAAGGTCAAGTGCCGAGAAAAGAAGTAAAAGAATTTCAAAGCATTCAATTGTGTGTGTGTTTTTTGTTTTTGTTTTTTTTTCTTCTGTAATTTTTTCTGTTGTTGTTGCACTTTGTTGCATTGTTGTTTGGTCTGTGAATAAGTTACAGTTTGGATTCTATGTTCGCATGTGGAGTTCACATTGTGCTAAATACATGCAAAACCGAGCGCACAAAAGCGCAACATTAAATAACATACCCTGATTCAATTTGTTTGCAGATCTATCGGTTTGGACAAGTTTGAAAGTTATTCGAGAGAGAGAAACAAGACCGCAGAGCTTCGCTTCGCTCCGCTCTGCGTTCTTGAGTTTTTAGTTACTTAATCTATTTTGTTGTTTCACAACAAACTATTTTTTGGCGCACTACATGAAATGTATTTCATCAAAATAACTTTGAAGTTATATATTTATTTGCAAAATGAATTACAAGATCTTGGTTTTATTTCTTTTTTTGAAATATACTGCCTTCCCGTGTGCAAATAAAGTGACTGACAGTCACTCAGTTTTATTTAGCTGCAAATAACTAAAACTGGCTAAGTTGATTGAATTCAAAAATGTTGTATAGAAACAATCACTTTTAGTTATTCTTTCAGCCAGTCGTCTAATTTCGGACTTTTTGGCGACTAGATGACTATAATTGAAGTTGACTTCAGTCGAATATTTACTAATACTTTTAGTCAGTGATAGTCAGCCAAAAAGTCCAAAATTAGGCGGCTGGCTAGTCAGTCACAAATTTTTCAAACAGGTTTGGTTTAAATTAAATAAATAATATGAGCATAGAATCGAAAGTCACTTTAATTCTGTTCAAGACCCAGAAAATACTGTACGAAAAAAGCTTGAAGTAATGTAATTTTTTAAAAAACATTTTATCATAAAAATTTGATTGGCGCTTTGAGTTATTATGCACTCATTTGTCGTTACTGGCACTGTTTTAAATTAAATAAAAAATATGAGCATAAAATTCAAATTCACCATAATTTGTTTCATCACTCAAAAAGTATTAAGAAGAAAAAGCAGATTAATAGCTCTACATTTCATGTAGTGCTAAAAAGAGCGTTAGCTACGGCAAATTAAACACATATTTAAAATATCTTTTGATTGAATGAGATTCGAACTTAACATTCAACGTTGCGCTTCGTGTTCCTCAAATATATATGTGATACTCAGGCGTAGATGTACTTAGTTTCGCCAATTTGTTCCATAATTCTGTAAGAGAATGAACGTGTTTGCCGTTTGAAGAAATTAAAGAAAAAAGCACAAAAATCAACCAACAAGAAAAAGAAAAGAATTTTTAGGTGATTAGCCGTATGCGCACAAAATACGTCGACAACAAAAACCGGTTTCGGTGGAAAATCAATGAAAAGCGCAATGATGGAAGTGCGCACAGGGGAAAAGAAAATACTTCTTATTGCACACTGACGTCGTTTCACCGACGAAACAGTATGTAGTAATTAAAATTTATAAAAACACACATGGCAACACGCGCGCATCACGTTCGCAGCTTTTAAAATGTATTCCATTCAATTGGATTCTTTTTGCTTCACAAATATAATAGAGACGAAGGGGGGGAAAAAATGAAAAGAAGAAAGAATGAAACAATAACAAAAAATTTATGCATATTTATTGGCTACTCAGAACAGAAACGATATACATACATATGTATATAATATATATTAGATTTGATGAACACACGATATACGTACAGCGACAGCTTAAAATCCAAGCCTACAGTCTGTCTAATGCAATACATGCCAGTACATGGCTAATACAACTATGAACTCTTCAAGACCAATTATCGGAATTTTGAGAAAATGCTAACGTACAAAACGAAGAAAGAGTAAGAAACACAGCCAGAGTGAGAGAGAGAGAAAGAGAAAGAGAGAGAGGGAGAGAGAGAGAGAGAGAGAGAGAGTGAAAGAGAGAAAGAAAAAAAAGCGTGCATGCAAAATAGACCGAAAAAGACCGAAATTATGGAGAAAAAAAACTAGTCATCAAAGCCACACAGCAATAGAAATTCAAATGCATTCATTGAACCAGCGAAATAATGCCAATTATTCAACAATCGTCCGACTTATAACGGTCTATAACTCTATGTGTGTTACAGCCATGCAACTGTATGCATTACGGGAACAAATAATACTTGAAATGACAACAGGAAAAGTATCCACATGCAAATATTATTATAATATGTACGTCGTTTCTTCTCTCTCGTTTTTTTCTGTGTCCTTTACGTTAATTTCTATTGTTAATATTGATTCGCTTTTATTTTTCTTGCATGGCTTATCTTCCAATACAATTAGCCCTTTTGGTGTTCGTCTTCACATAAATCCTGTCTCATATTCAAGTTTTGTTTTATTCATACGGATGAGGATTTAAAATAAGCTTATGCTGATTTCTCCACCGATCGCGCAGAATAAGTGCAACTCTTAGAGACCGAGAAAATTCCTCATAGAAAGTTCATGACGAGCACATATTAAGCACAATTATTGTCCAAACGAAGCACATCCAGCCCATGTTAACTTTTCGCATTCGTCAGTTAAGGTTTCGCATTCGTCAGTTAAGGTTTCGCATGCATTTTCTTGATCACATTTGTGGCTGAAAAAAAAACAAACAAATTGGTTCGATTTGAAATTGATAGGAACCATCTTTTCAATGCATCACAATCGTTGTTATAATTTATTTGTGAACGCTGGCACTGCGTTCAGTTTTGGCTCATTGGATGTATTTTTCTTTCATACATTGGTTGTTGTTTTTTTCTTCGTCGTACTGAATTCATTCCATTTCTATATATAATTCACTAAATGAATATTGCGATTGCGGAAAAATATAAGCTGAGCATTGCACTTGCTGTGATATAGATTCGAATATTATAGACCTATATGCATATATGTTTGCATAGATATTACACATATTAAGACAAGCGAATTGAGTGTGGTCGAAATGTCGTCTTCTCGTTCGCTCTCTTTCTCTTTGCTCGTTTTTATTTTATCGTTATCTACTTCTATCGCGTTCTAAACAAATACAATGTATTTGCGAGCAGCTAAAAGACTTCTTCATTTCAATGCGAACACAGCACAGAGAGAATGAAGGAAGGAAGAAACGAACGAACACGAAAAAAAATAGCAACAACATTGTATGACATTATAACATACTTACAATATCATTTCTCGCCTCTCTTTAATCGCCGTTGCTCATCTGACTTTTCATGTGTGCGAGTATTGACGTATCGTAACGGCGTGCACATTTAACATTATCAATCGAATCGAATAGTCGTACGTGTGGTGGACACGTTCTACGCTAAACAAAATAACAGAGTGTGAATACAACGAAAAATAAGAAGAAAAAAACCCAGCGCACAGCAAAATATGAGCAACAAATTCAAGTACAAATATCGCATACCTACTAACAGATGAATTTTGCACTGTAGTATGCGAATAGCATATCTGCCTGTATTTATATATTAATCAATTTTTTTTCGGTTGCTTCTCTGCTTTTATCACGCCCGACCATGCCGTGATAGTGACAAGTGATTTTTTGTTGTTGCTGTTGTTTCTTTTCACACAACTTTTCAAACATTTGAACAGAACAACAGCAAAAAACTAGAACAACAAACGCAGTGAAAGAGAGCGAAAATCCAGCAGAACAAATGCCAGAGCATAGCGCTAAGACAAACAGACAGAGGAAGGGCAGTTGAATAGAATTTCATAGAAAAAAAAACTATAACAACAAACTTGCTAGGCATATAATCAAGTGGTATAATGTATTCAGTATCATTACCCCTGACTTTGTAATCCTAGTTATTCGCTTGAAAAAATCGCTAGCACCGTGAATGAGCGACGCGCGCGCTTTACGCTTTGCGACGACGACGATGAACGCGAATTAGAAAAAAGAACTGTAGCGTGCTGCATTGTATAATAAAAAATACAAGCAAGCAAGCAGGCCGACAAGCAAATAGACAACAAAATCGACAAACAGACAGACGTATACAATATTCGGATGCAATTCACGATTTGCGAATCACGACTCTCGCAATCGTTCAATAATATTGTCTTCTTTTTTCCTTTCATTCTTGCAATCGACTCATCTTTAAAGATTATACGCCTAATTTGTCAAAAACAAATGTACACATACACATCAACAGTTAGCGAATTATATACATCAAACTGGACAACGAGTACTGAACTGTAATATATTTCTTCTTATTCCTCTTCTAGGTAGTGATTTCGCGCAGTCAGAATTAACGGACAACGAAGAGCAGTCAACAAGAGAGTTCGTCGCATCAAAGAACGTATGCTATACGTTCTTTGCAACCAATTTTTTTTAACTACTTTAACTTCTAATTCTTTCCTCTCACCAAATTGACAAATCAAACGGCGGATTTTCGGACTATTGAAACGGAACGTAGAAAGAGGGAGAGAGAGAGAGAGAATAGACGGAAGAAACCAGTTGAAACGCATATAAACATATATCTTTTTGAAATCATATAAGTTAAGTCGTCGTCTGAATGCCATCGGAAGACAGTTGGAACGACATCAGAGACATGTCGGACTCAGAAATGATGGATTCGAAGAACGATATATGCGGCACATCGAATTCCAATTCAGCATCCACATCATCACGAACGCCACCGAATTGTGCACGATGTCGAAATCATGGCGATAAAGTTGAATTAAAAGGCCATAAACGATACTGCAAATACCGTTACTGTAATTGTGACAAGTGCAATTTGACGGCCGAACGACAACGTGTTATGGCATTACAAACGGCCTTGCGCCGTGCCCAGGCCCAAGATGAAGCGCGTGCACTTCAGATCGGTTTTGAATCTGATCCAAAAGTTCGGACAACGGCAGCACAACCCCTTCCGACCGCTTTAAGCGTTCAATATGCGTTCAGTAATTTGAGCAAGTCAAGCAAAAAAGATGACACACATTTCCAACAATCGCCACCGCCACCTCCACAGAATTCAGCGGTGTCTGTGGCTGCTGCTGCTGCAGCAGCGGCGGCCGCCGCCGCAGCCAATCGATCTCTGGAAGAGCAATGTGACTCCTCATCGGCCACCACAACATCATCGGCTGGTATTGTCGTACCGATTCCGATGCAGCGAGCCAAAATTGGCTCGTTACATCCACCCGTCAGCAGTCATACGGTTCCACCTACCGGTAAGTTCTATTTGCACATTTTATGTGTATTCGTTGATATCAAAAACGGTTTTATTCCAATTCCAACTAAGCCGACCAAAATACCATTTTATTTTTTCGTTAGCTATCCCAATATTCAAATTAACAGTCTAATTTTGTTGACTATCAAATCATGCGTTTAAATACTTTTCCATTTTGACCAATAACACAATTCGATGTGAATTGTGATGGCGTGTGCATGATCTTGTCGCTCATTCTACATTGTAACCAATTGACACTCGAAAGAAAAGAATCCTAAACGAAAAAAACAAGTCACCATGCCAGCTGCTGATGATTATGACAAGAGCAATATAATGATAAGTACGCAACGGCAATATAATGTGATTTGATCTAATTACTTCGTTTAAAAATATACTCTGTGATTATTATGAGTGAAGTGTGCACACATATAGGAAATTTGAGTGTTAACCATTGATGTGCTAAGGAGAATTTAGTGAACTCGTGCCATTGCAGAATTGAGATCTGCGATAAATAGCTCCATTTTAAATTGTTATTTTTGAAATTGTACTTGAAATTTTCGGCCAAACTGTGCATACTTTGTTTGTGGTATTTTGCTGTTCTTGTTGTTGTTCGTGCTAATCTTTATTGTGATTAAAGTTAAGGCAAATCTATTAAGTACATATTGAATATGTGGTGTTGTGCGAACACATAAAGTATATTCACCAATATGGTGTTAACATTCATGGCATTAAGGCCGATTAATGCACCGTTATCACTCAGCAAATATCGGCAAATACATGTGTTTCTGAGGCGAATGACTGAGTGCGAATGAGTGCGATAGAGAGGAAAAGAGCCAGCGATAGAGAGGAAGATAGAGAGAGAGAGAGTGGCTCAAACAAACAGATATATGACGGAGAACGAGCGTGTGAGCGATGAGTCGAAAAGAGTTGGGGTGTAAGGAAGCAATGAAGCAGTAGGGCATGCAAAATAAAATCACAACAAATATTTCTCTCTCTCTCTCTCTCTGTCTCTCTCATTGATAACACTTCTCTACACATCAACGGGGGCCCTTATTCATTAGATACAATTATCAAAACCGAATGAATGTGGGAATCAGCATAGGTAATTGCGATTAGGCATGTTGTTTGTTGCATAGCACGCATTATTGTAATTTTGCATTACGGCAAAATGTAATTAATACATTTCAGAAATGTAAATGAAAAGCATTAAAGTATGCGGCTTTTCAAAGGGCCAGCCAATATAATTTCAATAAAGCTAGTCTTGAATTGAACATCATTTTACCTGCTCATCATCGCACTATGAATCAATGTGATTTGAATTAGTTTTGAGGCATAAATGCTCAATTTAATGGAGTTCTGATTATTTCCAAATGAGTTTTGCCACATACTTTAAAACGCATCAAGAGTTTCCCACTTTGCCTCATTATGTATATACCTTTGGATATGTTTATTAAACCGCACACAACTTTCAACACCAATGGTGGTGGGGCACACAATTTAAACGATTTATCAAAATGAATTTGTATACACATGTATATATCATTTATTATTATCTTCGTGATTAAGAACATCACATTATTGTATTGGCTGTCGAATTAATAAATTTATAAATTGTTGACCAAACAAAACAACGCAAATATACACACATGCATATGTAAATGTATGAATACAAATATTGTTGAAACCCCGATTCGCATCACAGATGCTCACCTACCGCGCTCTATCTTCTTCGTCAGAATTGCAACTGCTTAGCAGCTTATCTTGTGTGCACATTTTTTTTTCAGTATTGCATTTCACATTGGAACAAATGTCGTCAGTCCAGTCAAAATTGTTGCATAGTGTTTGTTGATCATGCAAAAATGGAAAATAAAAAGAAAGAAAGAAAGAAAACAACAGCAACAAAAAGAAACAAACAAATCCATCGCATTCTATGTAATGCATATCATCAGCTCAGTGGCGCGTTCAAAACCGCAGTTCTGAAAACGGTCAATTTCGGCAGTCTTCATCCACATCCTATCATTGGAAAATCATATGATTGGTTGCCATATACCACAACATAAATAATAGCGTCGGCTTATGCACTCATTGAAATATCGCTGCATTTTAATTCGAGTTCACCGTTAAATTCAAACTATCGTTTAGTAACAAAACATTGGAAAATCTTCAATGATTACTATATATGTACGCATACAGTATATCGACTAGATGTATAAATAATAACCAATATTTTTGATTGAAATTATTATTCAATTGGTTGATTATACTGCGGTGCTTTACCGTCAAAGTTATACGAGTGATTTTCATCGGCAAAAGTAGTTGTTGTTATTGTGGAATTTGAAAAAACAACTACGTACACGCACACACACACACATGCATGCCAATATATTTCTATTTCGATTTCGATCGCATTAAAAGCCATTGTTTTATAAAAGAAAAAGTGCATGAATTCGGTTTAATTTCTTTTCATTCTGTCTTCGAAAAGTGATTTTCCGTTAGCAAGAAACGACCATCAAACCCGTCGCCACCATGATCAATTGGTGTAGCACGTAGCTCACGTAACGTTTATCTCTAATATTATGTATCAAGTTAAAATTGAATTGACTACTTAGCAGGCTCATGAGTGGCCCCTTCAGAACATCGTCCTTTAAATCCAAAAGCAATGCATACACCATTTTCATCATTCATCTATATATGAACACACACACACACACACCTCTGATTACATATACATAAAATGCATATGCCTAAATGAAATTGTAAATTCGAAGCGATATTCTGATTTCACCGAAAATAGGCCCATATTCGCCGTACAACACATGGAAGAGGCAAAATCGCCATGAATGTACCAATAATGTACATGCACATACTTATCGCGTTTGGTAATGTGCAACGGACGGTTTAGATGCTCTTAAGTTATTAAATCGAACACATAAGTCGAATAACTTAATAATAAGAACGATTTAAGCCAGGATGTTTGTGGTTTTTTCCACATGAATGTGGTTAAAATATATTAGGAATGTGAAATCGTAATGTCTCTCTTGCTTCCATAAATATCACGGGTGTCCAAAATTCAAAAGAGAGATCAAGAGCGAGAGTATAGTTGAAAGTGCACGCGGTCTATTTTATGTTTGAATTGCATGATTTGAATTTAGGCAAAACTAAAGTATACTCTTTTTTTTCACAATCCCCAAGCAAATAGCTAATATAGTAGTGCAATAACAGCACCACCAGCAACAGCAAAACCAACAACAAAAGCAATTCGTACATCAACATCAGTCATATATGAATAACAGCTAAACTGTAAATGTGCATCCACGAGGAGGCTGCAGCATTATGATTGTTATATGCTCCGCTTGTTGCCGACACATACGGTGTAGTCAGTTTGAAGTGGCAGCATGTGTATGGCAAACACATTCGCACCAATCAGACAAATAAACAATCAATCGGCATAGATTTTGTTGCTGTTGCTCTTGCTATTGTTGTGCTCTTCGTATTTCTCTCTTGCACGTTTCAGTTTCATTCCGATTGAGTACCCAAAATATTTACAATAATGAATTTAATAATGATAATTTGGCGAATTTGATACCTTCAGTTTATTTCCACTTAGCGCTCGAGCCAATTCGAAGAAAAGGCATTACAAATCGAGAAAGAAAGAGAGAGAAAAAGAATACATAAAATAAAACCGAAGAACGAAATAACAAAACTCATGCGATATATTGTGGTTTTCTTGGCTGTCTATCGATGTTGATTTTCAGCAATGTTCTCTCTCCGTTTATTATACATATCTGGGTTAAAATAATTGCCGTCGAGTATATATATATATGGCAAAGAATTGAATAAACAATGCATTGTTATATTTAGTATCTTAAGTTTTCAGTTTTCGTGCTTATTCATGAAAAACCACTTGAAAAGGAAGCCAACTAAGGCGATTTCGAATCGACGAAGAAAGAAAAAACCGAATGTGTTAAAACCGCTTACTTGGCTATACACAATTTTGTTTGATATAAACAAATTATCGTTGTATATTGATCATCATGATGGGAGTAAGTCGCCGGCCGAATATTCATTGTTTGGATTAACATTCGTTTTGTGTTTTGTATTTTATCGATGCCCATTCGTTCATACAGCAATATTTCGTTGAAAAAAATCATTTTAAAATTATTAATGTAAACTAAAGGCGGTGGTTGTTCTTAGCGCTGGTGAAGGACAGCTTTTTTTTAAGTACATTTTTATTTATTTTTTTTTCGCTGAAAAGGTTACTTATTCTCATAAACAAAGGCAATTTATTTAGAGTGCACAAAAGCGAATAATTACATTTAAAATGTAATATGGAATTTGGAACAAATAATCACTTCATGTGTGATTTGACGCAATAGAGATTGATCCACTTTCATTCTGTGAACACTTTATTTTTTAATTTGTCTCCATTTTTCGTTTTCGTTTTCGTTTTCGTTTTCGTTCGTCGTCGTTGTTGTTGACACGACAACATTTTCAATGTTTTCATTGCTCCAACATTTTAAACAACTCCATTCACTCTTTCGTCTGTGTGAATGCATTTGATTGTAATATTTCTCCAAATTATTTCTTAATAAACTGTTGAAATATTGTTTATAGAATGAATCGTGCCCGGATGTGCGATTCATTTTTAGCCAAAATAATACTGTGTGTTTTGTATACAGATATTGTGTGATCTTTGGAACCATTTGGAAAGACGCATTTTTATTTTTTATAACATAAATATCCATATTTAACTGATTGTTTACTTGAAACAAATCAAAATCGAAACAATTTTTTGTTCACAGGAATTAAATTCCTAGAATTTGTATATTCGCTGCGCGTGCCAACTGTTTTCATGTCAAAATTATGTCTGTACAATTGCAGGCCAACAGCTAAACAATTTAACACTTGTGCTTCGAAAGACACGTGTTTTTTTCTCATTGTTCACCTGCCAATCTCAATGCCGAAAAGTGATTGTTGATAATGTGGTTTTTGTCATTTCGC